AGTGCGACTGCTGATCATGGGGTCCCGGGTTCGAATCCTGGGTCGGGCCAAAAAGTCAGTTATGAGTTTTTCATTTATGTTCTAAGTTATAATTAGTATTATTAAGTTATAGTTTTTTGCTAAAATATAGTATATTATTTATTGCTTGTTTTTTCTTCTTTTTAAAAAAAATAATTGAGTACATAAGGTGTTCTATACTTATAATTCGGTAAAAAGTATCTAAGTAGGTACTAATATACCTACTTTTTACTATAAACTAAAAAATTTTAAAACTAAATTTAACTAAAAAGACTAAACTGACCATTTATTTTTTAACTCATAACAGGACATGGGTTTATTTATACTCTAAAAACTATAACTTTATACAATTAGTGTTCACTATAAAATTATATTCGGTATAGACGGTAATTATTAATTGCAACATATTTTTTTTAATTATTAATTACATTTGTCAGTGGATTAAATTTGCTTTTTATAAAGTTGGTGATGATTTTAAATAAGAATAAAATTCTGCTCAAGTTTTTTATTGTTATCTTTGTTAACAACATCGCCTTTAGAACTCTGGAACCGTAAGTGTTTCTTTCAGACGTCCACAATTTATGCAAAATAAAAAAATACTCTTTCTACCGGAGCATTCGTACCAGGTAGACATAAAATATATTCGATTAAAAAAAACTATGTTGAAAATTGTTGACTTTGAATACTTCCATCCAACGAGTTACGGGACAATTTTGTTTGGGGAGCTTTGTTTGGGGACAATGGGACAGGAGACCGAGAAAAGGGACAGTCCCGTTCAAAACGGGACGTATGGTCACTTTAGCTATAACCCGGCGACCATGAAGCAAATACAAAGTTAGTTTTTGTATTAGCTTCATGGTGGCGCAGTGGCTTAGCAATCAGTTGTTGCGCTGGGGGCCGCGGGTTCGAATCCCGCATGGAACAAGTATTTGTATGGCCTACAAATAATTGTTCCGGGTTTGGATGTTTGTCTTTGTGCAATTTATGTTTGTAAACTGCCTCCACGACACAGGAGAAAATCCTAGTGTGGGGGTAACGTTTTTTTACAACTGAAATTGAAAGATTGAACCCTTATACTTCTTGTTGATTTTGTATTACCTTTATTAAAGTTACCCTTATGTATAAATAAATATAATTACGTATGTAGAAATAAAATTGATTTTCATCCTCATCAATCATTGGGGTGAGGATAATATCTGCTAGCATAAGTAATAAGCAGGCTAAGTTACAAGGTGCTCAGTTCAAAAATTAGTAGGTAACTTTTCAATACGTGACACGTAAAAATTAACAATAATCAAAAACACATATGCGAAACATCCTATTTATTTATTTATTCTTTATTGCACCAAATATTTGTACAAAAGCCGAGCTATCTATTTATTTACCTATAGTGAATAGGTATCTTTTAAACTCACAATTTTCAATGCTTCAGTTTTAATATATAATTAATTATAAAATTTCAGAATTAGATAATATATGAAAATACATAATTCTAATATAATGCAACTAATATATACAGAATAAAAAAATTAAAATACATTTATCTTTGTACGCTATGTGTATTTCCATAAAATAGTTTATTGATGTTGAAAAAATAATACTACTTTCGTACAATAGGTGGCGTCTTACATATTTCTTCCGGCGAGCCGCTCGCTACAATATTAATATATTAGGTGAAATGCTCAAGGTCGTTCGCATGGAGTAGCCCCTTAAGTAAATTTTTTAACTTCCTTTGACCTTATATACTATCATATAATACTACATATAACATACTATACATAATAATACTACTTAAATTTATTTCATACTAACTAAAACTAAAACATTATAAAACTTCAAGTTTTTTTTTTTGCAAAGAAGCATGTTTAAAAATAAAACAAAATCGACCATGTGCCAGTGTTCACGTGTAAACGCTATCAATTTTATCCTATCCGCGCATCTGTGTAGCGAAACTATTCACTATGTATACAATAGAAAATGCTCCCTAACAAAGCATCTATACCGCTAACGTCGCATCATCTCGTGCCGTTCATTAAATTGCATTTATAGAAAAAAAAAATTACAACCCCCATACGACGCTTTAATAGCCGTTATGTCACAAAGTTTCAACGAAATAATCATCTCCACGAAGTTTATGACAACGAAAATATGAAGGGGAGTATTTGTCAGAAGCTAAATTGAGTTATTGTAATTTATAATATGGTCCAGAGTCCAGAGTACACCTGTCTACGTAAATTATTGTTTAATACTTTACGTAGACAGGTGTAAATAAGCAGAAATTCACGTCTTAAATTGAAATGCACAAAAATATGTTTTTAATTTTTGTGCATTTAAAGCTGAGACTGTGTACCTAAATCTTTAAGTAAGACTTACGTACATAACCACAAAATTAGTCTTACCGTTTATTTCTTTTTAGTATTTTTTATTTGGTAACTAAAAAAACTTTTCCGTAAATAATTTGGAACTTCTACTGTATAATGGAAGTGTTTAACATACATAAATTGCACATGGATAAACAACATTTAAACGTGAATAATTTATTCTAACTCCTTTTCCATAAATTAGTTGAACCCGAGACCAAAAGTGCCACAGCCAAACACTTAGTTACTGCTATTAAATCGTCTTATTTGAACAATATCGTGCAAGAAAATATTATTGACAATTTATTTGTAACAAAAAAACTAACGAATTTATTTTCAGTTGACATAAAAAAGAATAAAGTTCTTAATTGGAATATATTTTTGATTTTGATTGAAACATTGATTTTGATAGAAACATACTTCGTTTTGCTATTTCTACATCTTTTTATAACAAATTTTTATTACTTATTCTTTTTTATTAAATAGGCTACACCTCAAGGGTGGTTCAATTGGAATTTAAAGAAAAAACTTTTAATAACAAGCAAGAGCATACTTCAAAGAACTAAAAATAAAAATATAATTTTCACTTAATACGAATAGCTTCTAAAGTCGGGGCTCTAATTTTTTTTTATACACTTTATCTTAGTGTCTTAACACCGACTTCTGAAGCTATTATGGGGAAATTTAAAAATTATTTTTATTTAGTTGAATTTTAAGCTAACTAAGAAATACGCAATCTAACTTAGATAAAAACTAAAATGTAGTCTAAATGACATTATAAAACTTCCTTCCCTATTTTCCACCTTTAGGGATGGAATTGATTGTTTTAATTTATTTGGAACCATCCCTGAAGCACGTCAGTAAAGAACCTGAAGTATAGCTTATTCAAACAAAAGAATCATTAAAAATCTGTTCACGGTTGACAAATGATATCGCATATCATACATACAAATAGAACCATACAGTTGAATCACAGCGTCCTTCTTTTTGGAGTCAGCTAAAATAGGGGTGAAGTTTTTAGTACAACTTTAGACGACATTATTTTTTTACCTTGATGATTAGTCAACTCACATAAAAAGTAAAAACCGATTTCTAAAAACTAGAAAGAAAAAAATAATTTCCACATAATTTTTAATATTTTTCTGTTGTCGGACACAGTAGGTATAACGAAGCATTGAAATCCTGCCTACAGAAGCTAAAATTAACTATCATGGTATTCCTAAAATCATATTTAAGATCCTTAAAAGGTTAGTGTCACAAGCAGAACAAGTTTTGCCACACAAAACACATCAAATTCAAACAACATGCGTAAATACGAGTATAGTTCGGCTATTACAATTTATATTATATCCTTTTATTATTTTATTTATTTTAATATTTATACGGCACGGTTCTTTGAACGATGTGATCCGAAGGGCTCTTGTCTCTATAAATGTTCCCTCGGTTTTAGAGCCTTGTGGAATATTTAGAGACGGTGGCAGGAGACCCGACGGTATGACATTGCTCCCTTGGGAGAGAGGTAAAGCCCTAGTGTGAGATGCTACTTGTGTAGTCACTTTGGCGGCCTCTCATCTCAAGGGTAACTCATTTAGAGCCGGGGCGGCATCAGAGGCAGCTGAACTGAGTAAGTAGCGCAAATATTAGTCTCTGAGAGATGACTACATATTTATGCCATTTGCTGTAGAGACTATCGGTCCGTGGGGTCCACGTGTGGTGAAGATCCTAAAGGAACTCTGTCCGTGACTTGTCCTCCTTGCTGGTGATAAGAGGGCTGGTTCTTTTCTAGCTCAAAGGCTAAGTATAGCCATTCAGCAAGAAAACGTTGCCAGCGTTCTTGGCACGATACCACGGGGAATAGGACTATAATTAAGTTATTAGTTTCTTTATTATAGTTTTTTAATATTGTATGTATATTAAATTGTTGACATTTATATATATATATATATATATATAGCTGTTCCCCGCGACTTCGCTCGCGTGTTAGGGTTTTTATGTTTCTGCGCGGAACCCTAATTCTTTTTCTAAAATAAAAGCAGCCTAAGTTACTCCTTATGAAATCAGCTACCTGCCAGTGAAAGTCCCGTCAAAATTGGTCCAGCCATTTCGGAGATTAGCTGGAACAAACAGACAGACAGACAGGCAGACAAAAATTTTAAAAATTGTGTTTTTGTTATAAGTACCGTATATACTTTCATATGCAATTAGTAAAAAGCTGTAATTTTGACATTACAAACAGACACTTCAATTTTATTTATTTGTATAGATAATAATGGATACGAGATTATGATAATGGAGATTATATTTATATTAACGTAGGAATTAAATATAAATTGAAACTGGAAAGGTAATAAAATGTATTAATTATTTCTTAATTTTACAGCAAACCTTTTAATAATTATAATATGTACATGCTGATTTTCGCCCAAAAATAATACTCAGCCTTTTCAAGTCAACAGCTGAACACAAGCTCTTGTGGAAAACGAAGACTGAAGACGTAAAAGGTCTATTTTGTAATATTTTATTTTGATTTTATGAGCTTTATATTTATAAATAATTGTAAAGCTTAAGATACACAAATCGATAGCAAATTCAGAAACCAGTTTATATATCGTAAAAAATTACCAATAAGTCCGCTGGTGCCAAATAAATAAAGTGCGAAAAACTGCAATATAAAGTGCATCCACCGCGTTTGGGACGCCTTCAACATTTTCTCCAATTCACATGTTTTGCCAACATTTTTCACACACTGTCCAATAAACTTAAAAATATCTTTAGTAGCATCCGCTGTAACATCACTATTTTATTGTTAGCAATAATATCTGATGTATAAACCAATAACTTTTTTAATAACACGATGAATAAATATTACGTACTTAAATACGCGCGCGTCTATCAGCACATCGAACGTGCACCCTCCCTTCACCAAAGTTAACGCGATACTGAACAAAGTTCTTTGGAAAGTCGACGAGAACGGAGATAATCGTGGTCGGTCGTAGCCCGTAGCTTTTTGGGAAAGTCCAAGTGGCATTGATCCAATTTTCTTTGAAAAGAGTAGTTTGAACAATAAAATTGTATTTTTTGTTGAATCGTCGCATAAGTATTGAAATTGTCGACTGTGTAACTTAGTGGTCAGAATACCTGTCTAATATGACAATTATGAATCCCAAACAGAAAAAAATTAGAGAGTCATTATTACCATTGACTTGACAACTTTACTTTTCGAGTATTCGAAAACAACATTATATTAAATATATCCCGCTAAAACCAAACTTAAAAGGTCAAGTTGGGTACAGGCGAAAATTAGGGTTGTCAAATTCGCCGATAAAAGAGTTGAAGCCCCGACTTTAGATGCTATTAAGTGGTAATTATTTTATTATTTTTAGTTTTTGAAGTCAGTTTACACTTTATCCTTTTGAGTGGTCTAAGGAATTATCACAAATTTAATGTTACAACCGGAATGTCATCTAAAATTATCATTCCCTGTTTTTCCACCACGGGTGGATTTTTTAAAAATAATATGGCACCACTCATGTAGTATAAAATCTCTACACTTATTTTACAATAACCGGTCAAATTTGCAAAGAAGGTTCAGAATAAGTAATATAGACAAATGGTGAAGAAAATTTAATCAGAAAAAAATCTATAAAATGCTGGTATTTTTATCGTTTAAATTCAAAATTCGTGGTAATCCGTTATTTATTTATTTATTCTTTATTGCACCAAATATTTGTACAAAAGGCGAGCTTAATGCTATATGGCATTCTCTACTAGCTAACCTTGGGTAGAACAGAGAGTGAGTTTGGGCAGTTAAGTTGTCATGATATTTTTTTTATAGGATAAGGGTGACAAACGAACACACAGTTCACCTGATGGTAAGTGGTTGCTGTGACCCATAGACATCTACATCTATCATCGATTAAGAATCGAAATGCAGATGTGTTGTCACCCGTGAGGACTAAGATGGAATGCCTCGATTCCAGTAAAAAGGGTCTCCGGTTCTCTACACTCACCATACGAAACACAGCAGTGTTAAGCTGCTATTTTACGCTGGTATTCTGTGAGAGCGTGGTCCTTCCCCAGTCGAGCCGACCCATTCGTGCTACAACTATACTATTAATATAGCTGCAGCATGGCTCTACCACGTATAAACTCAGTTTAAATATATACATGCAACGCATACATAAAATATACACATATATATAAAATATATATAATTCATATACATATATTTTTTTTTTATAAGATAAGGGTGACAAACGAGCACACAGTCCACCTGATGGTAAGTGGCTGCTGCGGCCCATAGACATCTACATCTATCCTCTGTTACAAATCAAAATGTAGATGCGTTGTCACCCGTGAGGACTAAGATGGAATGCCTCATTTCCAGTAAAAAGGGCCTCCGGCCACCTGCACTCACCAAGCGAAACGCAGAGGTAAACCTCTACTTCACGCTGGTTTTCTGTGAGGTCGTGGTACTACCCCGGTTCGAGCCGGCCCATCCGTGCGACAGCAAAAGCTGCCGCGTGGCTCTACCACGTAAGAAAAATATAAATGAATGCACACATTTATACATATATATCTCAATAAATGTATATATAAATAACTATAAACATATAAAGTAAGTTGACTCTGTAGGGTATCCTACGGATATGCTCATATAGTTTTCTTTTAAAAACATTTTTGGTAGGTATTGTTCGCAGGTCAACAGGCAATTTGTTCCAGAGGGTAATGGAAATAACTGTGAAAGAATTTGACATAGACCAAGAATGGTGGAGAGGAATAGACAGGAATAAACTGTGTGAAGAACGGAGATTGAGAGAATGAACGTTATTCTAACTGATTGTTTACTATTTTACTACGCACGCACACATTCATACTTGTTGTTGACATAAATCACATTCAATTTGGGACAATTAGACGCTTTCAAGCTTCTGAACTGGAAAGGATACGGTATTAATAACAATGGCGAGTACATCACTCACCTTCGATTTGCCGACGATATGGCAGAATCGCTAGAGGACCTAAGCACTATGCTCAATGACCTCAATAGTGTTTCCCAACGGATAGGTATTAAGATGAACATGGACAAAACAAAGATCATGTTTAATGTCCATGTCACACCTATGCGGGTAGATGTGGGGGACACTAAGCTCGAAGTTGTTGACGAGTAGGTTTACCTGGGACAAATAGTCCGACTAGGTAAGTCCGACTTCGACCGAGATGTCAATCGGCGGATTCAACTCGGTTGGGCAGCGTTCGGGAAATTACGGCACATCTTCTCGTCAAGTATACCTCACAACTTGAAAACAAGACTGTACAACCAGTGCGTGTTGCCAGTGATGAGGAAGTTCAAGGTCGCTCAGCGAGCTATGGAGAGGGCTATGCTCGGAGTTTCTCTGTGTGATAAACATAGAAATGAGGATATCCGCAGTAGAACCAGAGTGACCGACATAGCCCAACGGATTAGTAAGCTAAAGTGGCAATGGGCCGGCCATATAGCTCGAAGAACCAACAACCGTAAAGGTTCTCGAGTGGCGGCCTCGTACCGGCGAACGAAGTGTAGGGCGTCCCCCCACTAGATGGAGTGACGACCTGGTAAGATATGCAGGAAGTCGATGAATGCAGGTGGCTCAGGACCGTGCTTTGTGGCATTATTTGGGGGAGGCCTATGTTCAGCAGTGGACTTGTGAAGGGCTGTAATGATAATGACATTAATATTCATACTTGTAGCTTGGATTCTTTTGCTATTACTACATTCATGCAATTTCAAATACTGATTTTTCACGTTTTCGGACAACAACAGTAAGTACCTACATATCTGAGAGATTAAAATTATATCCAGGACATAAACAGTCTACTAACACACAGTAGAGTAGCAAAAATACTGTCACCACTGAGAGGACACACCAGAGCACACACAAAGGATTCCTACTATTTCGTTAGTGAAATAAAAGACCTACATCTCGCTGACAATGAAACTATGGTCAGTTTTGATGTTCAGTCACTATTCACATGCTTACCAATTGAAGACTGCATCTCAATTGTAACTAGGAAGCTAGAAGGTAACAACATGCCTACATAATATGCAGTATTACTCAAACACTGCCTTACATCTGGCTATCTATTGTGGAAGGAAAAATTCTACAAGCAAGTAGATGGTGTGGCGATGGGCTCGCCTGTATAGTCGCCGACATATTCATGGAGGACTTCGAGGAGAAAGCCCTTCTTACTGCTCCTGTAAATTCAAGATTCTACAAGCGGTAAGCAGACGATACTTTCACAATTTTACCATCTGACAAAATAGTTGCATTTTTAAACCACCTTAATTCCATAAACTCTAAAATACAATTCACAATGGAGTTAGATGCAAACAATTCTTTAGCTTTCCTAGATGTTTTAGTCATCCGAAATCCTGATAACGCTATTGGTCACACTGTATATAGTAAAAAGACCCATACCATCTGATATTTAAATGGTGAATCGCACCATCATACATCACAGCTACCGTGGGAAAGTCTTTGTTTCAGAGAGCACGAGGGATCTGTGACAGAAAACAGCCGCCGAGCTTCAGCACGTCGCGCAAGTATTGCAAGACAACAAGCTTCGGGTCCCGCGCCTACGTCACAGTGACCGAGTGAAGCCTGCCACAGTCGACCGTTTGCCTGCTGTACTACCATATGTCAGAGGAGTCACAGACAAGGTTGGCTACATCTAGAAGCGAGCTTCCATTAAAGCATACTTCAAGCCGCCGAAAAAGATTAGTAAATTTTTACTATCGGTCAAGTGTCATATCCCTCCACAAGATCCAGGAGTATACAAGCTGGATTGTGAATGTGGTCTCTCTTTCATAGTACAAACAAAAAGATCTATTAAAACCCGCGTGAAAGAACATATAGCTGACTTGAAGCACCGACGATCCGCGAAGTCTGCAGTGTGTGAACATGTTCTAGATCGTCCTCGCCATTACATTAGATTTGATAGACCACAAATCCTCGCAAAAGAACACCGATTCCCACCAAGTATGATTCGCGAGGCTATTGAAATTAAAAAACATCCTCATTTTTTTATAGAAGAGGGATGCAAAATCTCTTCCCAGTGCCCATGAATCGAGCCGATCGGAAAGGACTCGGTCGTCGACGATTCGAGCTGCTCTGCGCTGGATGCGGTCAAGTGAAAGGAGCTGGCACTGGGGGGCCCTGCCCAGAGATGGGAACAACCCTCCACCTCCTATGGCCCCACCAACCTTACGGTTATACGGGCCGAATCTCGAGAGATACACGCGGTACTTGCTCAGGGCTCTTTCCCGCGTGCACTTTCTTGACTCTCTACAAGTTATTTACTCTATTCCTTGTCCCGTTGTGTCACTCTCCCTTTCTGGGCTGGACAAACACAGCACAACTTCGGTTCCGGGCTGGTCTTCATTTGTGAAGGGAACAGTATTCCATGTGAGGCCGAACCTGCGCCTAATAAATTTGCAAGCAGTGTGCCGGCATGAAATACAGTCCCGCTCTGCAAAGCACGCCAAGCTTTTTAGAGGCCAATTTGGCCTTCTCTTTCAAGTGACCACGAAACTGCACGTTACTCGATATGTCGACTTCGAGGATTCCGATACCGGCTGAGGCAACAAGGGGAGTGCCTTGAAACTGAGGAGATACGACAAAGGGGTTCTTTTTAGGGGTAAATGCGCAAACTTGTGTCTTATGAGGA